TCATTTCCTGTTCTTGTTATCAGTTTAGTTGATTAAATTTGAAAATTACTAAGAATGGAACAGTAAATTATTTTTTGCAGAGATGTGCAATGATGACTCATACCCAAAGAGTGGAAAAAGTACTTCTCTTCAAGCCTTCTAGTCCTCAGTATATATCCATTAAACTTCTTAGAACATTTTAGCAAATTGCTGTGCTCAGCTTGGGCCACTAATAGCATCTAATGTGTGAGAACAGTGTCAGAGCTTATTTACTTAATAAAAGCAGAAAAACTCAGATACTAGAACAACACAGAAAAGCTCAACTGTAGTAACAGACATCTGGATAAACAGCTAATTTCATTACCTCTGTCTTGAGATTTGTTGCAGTAAATGGGTGTGGAGATTATTAAATAAAGTGCATTTCTATACTTATCATATCCAAATGGTTCCAGTATCCTTGGTACCTTAGTGCGCTGTAACTGAGTGACATCATATAACTCTATGGAGGGAGTAGAGGTGACAGAAGGAGAGCATTAGAAATAAGAATTAAATTAATGTGTGTACAACTGTAGAAAATTATGGCAGTGCTGGAAGGCTAAGATTAATTTCATAAGATGATGTTATAAACATGTAACAGATACATTTGGTGGATTCAGTGAAGATATTATACATCCTATGGTAAATGAGAGAAATGAAAGCTGTGTTAGGCTAATCTGTTCATAGGGAGAATTAAGGGGGAAGGTAGTGATGAACTAGTAATATTGTGATTCTGAGACTGTGGCAGTTCTTAGCCTATTTTAATATCCTGTTTTGATTGGTTACATTTTATTCTGTTGGGTTTTTTAAGGTATCTTACAAACTGTTCTGTGTAATCTAACCAAGTACTAGAAGTTTAAAAATAAAAACAAAGCTTCATGCATTTCATGTTACAGCTGAAGGAAGGAGTGACATACAGGAATGGGGAAACGTGGTGAAGGACAGAACTGTGAATGTTTGACAATGGTAACAGTGCCAGATAATTTTATTGTCATATGCCAGCCAGATTCTTCATCACAGAAATTTTATGTATTTCAAGTAATCTGGATCATCTGTCTGGCATGTCATGTACTTTGGACATTTTTAAAAGCAACAAGTATTCAAATTCTGCCACTACTTTAGCAATACTTCTGTCATTTTCAGGAGAAACAATGACAAAAAGCTAAAGCCTGATTTTAATTTACTCTGTCATGGGGAATGATCTCTTTATGGTCTTTTGCTTTTGCTATAGGGGAGAACATTTAGTCTATAGAAATGGTGTGTTAGATGGCACTCCTTTAGCTCAAGCTGGTGTTAATTTTATGTGTGGTTGTGTATTGGGAGAAATATCAAAAAGCAGTTGTAACTGCTTCTGCATCACAGTTCTTCCTTGTTTCCCTTTTGTTTTGGAGCATGAGTGTAGTAGTTTTGTGGCAGAGTATTAGCCAGACAGTTCTTCTCATTTCCTTAGGAAAGGAGACCTAACAGTAAAAATAACTGTAAAGGAATATCAACCATCAGGCTCTGCCTTAAATAAATTCAAAACACACTTTTCTAGTGTTCACTGAAGATACTGCTTTGTGACAGATAAGCTTAACTCTTCTTGATTGAATAAAAAAATAGTACCCATCAGACATTACTTGTTTTCAGAAGTGAAGACTAAAATGTTAGAGGTTTTCTGTTTATGAAAAAAGAGAGTATTTTTTTGAAGTTGTCGTGTTTGTTGTTATTAGCAGGAATCTGCTAATATCTCTTCTCATTTTCTTTTATTCAATTGTCAACTCTAATAACAAATTTTCTGTAAGGAATAACTAAATATAAAACAATATTTTACTTCCCAAGTTTACTTAAATATTAACTTTATTATCAGCTCAAATGCATGCAAACTAGCTTTAGTGGTACCACAGCTCCTTAAAGTGAAGATTTGTTCTATAAGGCATTATATAAATTAATGGTAGATATGTCCTTTCTCAAATTGCTTGAATGCTAATTAGATGAACAAATTTAAGGCTTTAAGAAAAATGCAAGCAGGTATGTATTAACATCAAAATATATCCACAGGCTACTTTGTGAATTTGTAAAGGAACAGCACAGACCTCAGGTATTTACAGGCTCATTGAGAAAGAAGGCAGAAGTTAGTAGATTGTTTACCTGAGATGTTAATTGTCAAGAAGCCTTCACTTAGAGATGGTATTTTTGGCTGTATTTTTGGTGGTTGCTGTGATCATTCTCTTTCAAATTAACATATATTAAGATACTGTATTTTAAGGGAGCACTACTTTTGAATTTACTTATGTTGCAATTGGATTGTCAGCTTAAATATGTGTGTCCAGAAAGCATGTATTAGAATTGGATTGGTTTTTCTTATGTGGGTAAAGGACATTTCTGGTGTTATAAATATTTTACTTCCTTTTTGCAATTGTCTGTCTTCTGACTTCCATCCAAAGTGTGGACCAGTCAGCCTTTCCAGAGTGTCAGTTCTTATTTTCTTGTTTCATTTTTAGTCTCAACATCAGTGAAGCAGGCCGATATGGAACAACCTGCTCTTCCAGAAACAACTTCCACACATGGTCCAGGAGAAGTCAGCAAAACCACAGTGACTGAATTAACTTCACCAGATGGAAAAGTCACTCAAATAGAAAATATAGTTGATCTCTGGAGTGGAAGTCTTAAGGTATTTATATTGTATGGAATCCTTAAAAATCATTCACAGATATCATTGTATTGTAGAGTTAGTGCAGGAGAAGTTTCAGTGTGATTGCTGAGTGAATGGTATTTTTTGTTGTTGTTGCATATTGCACATAAGCATGTGTAGCACAGAATATCTTTTTTCAAAAAACTTTGGAATAACTGTCTCCATTAGGGATGTGCTGATATCATGATTCAATAGCTCATTTTATGTGGTAATACAGCTGTACACAGCCTGTGTAATGAAGGTATCACTGCAAATATTTGTGTCTTCTTAATTGCTAAGTGTTTTAAGATGAAAATTACAGAGAGGAAATAAACTCATTGCATTACTGTCATCCTTTTAACTTTTCAGACAAATATTCTGACTGAACTGAAAACTTGGGAACTTAATTTGATTCAACAACACAAGCTTCAAATGAGACAAGAGAAAGAGAAACATGACACACAAGTGAAACAACTGCAGAATGAGATGGAAAACCTGAAAGAGTTACTTCGTACTTATGAAATCTCTATTAGCAGGAAAGATGAGGTAGTAACTCAATTTCATATTTTAACAGTTCCTCTCTGTTTAAAAATATCTACACTAAATTTTTTGGTCCATCTCTTTGAACATTTTTTTTAAGTAAGTAACATAGAGAAGTAAATAATACATTCAGACTGTATAGTAGAAAAATAATCATGGTTGCTAATAGAGTTGTCTATACTAACAATGAAAGCACATCATATGTGCTATGTTTTGCATTGTTTGTTTCTTAAATCTAGAGTCTAGTCTTGTTTCTCATGTATTTCATGAAGAATTCACACAGGTGTAGGTGAGTTTATTAGCTCTTATATTTTAAAAGCATCTAAATTTTCAATTATTAGATTGGTTTTCCTCAGTTTTAAAATGTTGAGGAGCCTCTATTTTAAGATTCTTAGGAATTCAACATTTGTACATATTCTTAAGATTGGACATTTGGAGTCTCTGCTTTACACTTTCCTGCTGGCAACAGTGCAAACAACTTGAATATTAACTAGAAGTGTGAAAGTAGATATAAAATCTTGGCAGTTTTGCAGTCACCCAACATAAATAAGTTTTCTTTCTGCTACCCTGAACATATTACCTAGTACTTGAGAACACTTAATGGAGTTTGGGTTTCTAATTCCTACTTAAATTTTCAAAAAACATGCATTACAAGAGTTAAAATGTGAATGAAGATAGTGTTCTATGTTCGTCTAGAAAACACACTAATCTTAAAGACCAAGCAAATATAAATGCTGTAATATTACAATAACTGGATTAGTCTTATACCATGTAACTAGTACCTTGTGCATGGCTATTTCAGCCTATACCTTTCAAACATCTAATTCTATTGGCTATCATTGTATGTCAGTCATATTTAATATACCATAATTCTCAGTGATACTTTGAAAGCTCTATTTCATTATCTGCTGCCAAAGAAATTGTTTCTTCAGCCAGTTTTAAAGTTCTGATTCTAAGGAAAAAACCCCAAGCATTTGAATAGAAAATTACTATTGCTACCACCTGAATGGAAGGTGGCAGTGCTTCCATGCTTCTGCATATCATTCCATAACTATGAAATCTCCTGTATCCTCATATGGACATAAACCAGGGTTCATCAGCCCCACAAATATTACAAGTATTAGATTCTTATTACACATTGTAAAACATTTAAGATTTACAATGTGTAATAAGAATCTAATTTATTTGCAAAAATATGCTGATTAACAAAAGTAGACTTAGGCTAAGACTTGTAATGTGTAGCAGTATGTATGCAGCATTGAAAATTTATTTTTATAATACTTTTTCAACAAAATTAATTAATATATCAATTTAATTTGTTTTCTATTTTAATTTTAGTTATCATTCATTTAATTAGTGTATATTCAATAATTATTACTTGTAACAAATGGAATATAATGTTAACATATGCTAGCATGTATTATCATAAAATGTTGTTCTCAACAATGTTTATGCTAACTTTGCATTATTCCCCCAAGTCCCACTGTTGACCATTAGAGTTGCTCATATATGACTGATGGCAGAATCTGGCTTAAGAAGTTAGGCAGAAGTAGGGAGTAATATTCAGATTTGGTCTACTAAATTTGCATCATGCCTGACTTACTTTTTAGTTGGGGAACCTCAGCTCTTCATGTGTAGTCATTAAATTTAGAGATGGCTGGGTTGCAGTCTCTGTCCAATATGACATCTTGCCTCTCAAACGTTTTAATTGCTTTAAGCTTATATAGTATCTTTCATGAGATCTTCTAAAGAGAGTAACAGTTTCTAATAAGGTTTTTCTGGTTTATAGCAACAACTTAGCTTATTTGTTCTGTTCAGACAAGTGAAACAAACTTCTAATATAAATGTTTCTGATTTATTAAGTCTCTTTGAAATAAGATGTCCTTCTGATGTTATGCTGTGGTAACATTTAACTATGAGAAAGTAGTTCAGAAACCACCAAATGTAGGAGGAAATAACAACTCAGTTGAACTTTTCCTAAAACTACACCATGGAAGTACCACAATCTGAGTGTCAAAGCCACAGGAATTTTACTTCTCATTTGAACTTTCATCCTTGTTTCTTACTTGATTAGAGTAAGGGGGAATTTCAGTAGAAAGCATCTGTGAAAAGCAAGTGCTTTAAGTGAAAAATAAGTGAGACATAAAAAACATTCTCTTTGATCTTACGGTGATCATAGATAATGAAATTGTGTTAATGAATATTTTTGTAGGTAATTACTAACTTGACCCAAGCATTAGAAAAGCAAAAGGAGAGAGTAGCGTTGATGAGAAAGTTTACGCTGTGGCGGATTCAGCATGTTAAAGCCAAACAAGAGGTATGTGCACAAAATCAATATGCCGTGAAAATTAAACCTCTGAACTCAAAAGAGTCAGAGCTGCTGCACTTCTTTTTACAGTTTGAAGAAATCATGGTGTTTCTATTTTGATGTGTTTGACAAATAACAGTTTGAAAAGATCAGTTCTAAAAGGAATGTTGCTGTCAGAATACTCTCTGGAATGGGAAAAAATCTGTTGTCTGCTGACTATTTTGAAATAGAGTAGAATAGTAGAGTTGTTTTAAAGTAGCTTTTAAACAATCTGAAGTCTAAATTTATTCAAAATATAAGTTTTATGATAACTACCTTCAGTCTTTGTGACAGCAGGTTTTATATGATTCCTACAGTGAATCCAAATGTGCCACATACCCAACAAATGGCTTCATATGTCTGTTTACACTGTGTATGTGAGGTTGTTGTTTGGGTGTCATTAAACTTAGAGTAAGACCACTGTTGTGTGTAGCCTAGGAGCTCACAGACACGGTTTCTCATGGTGAGGAGAGCAACGTGCATTGGCACATGTGCAGAGGCAACACTGACAGCTTGTGTAACACTTCACTGCAGGACCTGTAACTCAGTTAAGGGGCTCCTACTGTGGTCTCTGTAATAAGCTGCAAAACAAGCATCCACAGTAAAGTACTGAGCTTTTTATCAACCCATAACTTTTTTATGACGTGTTTGTATTTACTTCCTAAGGAATATGCAATTAGAATGGCAGATAAACATTTCCAGACAGCTTTGATGAAGAAAGTGTGGGCTGCATGGCGCTCTGTTAGTGAAGCAAAATGGAAAGACAAAGTAGCAAGAGCCTGTCAGTTAAAGGCAGAAGATGTATGTGTTCAGCTCACCAATGATTTTGAAGCAAAAATTGCAGAGGTAAAATCAATTTTTTTTTCTTCTTTTGCTCCTTGATTCCCAACCCCTGTTCCTCCAAAGGATGTCTTTCTCAGCAGACCTAACAAACACGAGTATTTTCCAGTAGAACAGAGCTCTCAAGTATGCAAGAAGATCTGAATGGATCTAAGATCTTTGTAATGTTTTTAGACATGCCTTTTTTTCCTGCATCCGATATAAAATGTTGCCAGTCTGCATACACAGATGAAATAAGTTGTGCCTTCCTGAAATAAGGCAAATCTCTGTTTGCCTACTAATGGGAATGCCATTTGTTTTCTAACAGCATTCTGTTTGTATGAGCTATGCATTTTGAGGTCTTAATGAAGGAGACAATGCAAATAGAAGACCATTATTACTTTGAATGATCATGATGAGTACAATATTTTTTTTCTGTAATAGCTATTCTGTTAAAGGCTGAAATTAAGTTTGATTTTTCTTTAGCTTGCTGATTAAGCTTGTTAAAGAATTTTCAGAGCTTAAGGTGAAATTTTCAACCTGTGCATTGGTGCACGCTAAATAATTAGTTTTAAAATATCACTTTCAAGAAGTTTGTATTTCAGCAAGAAATTAAACCTAAAATTTTAAGAACAGGCTTACCAAATGTGTCTTAACAGCACAAAAACCATAAGTAGCAACTTGATCTGATCTTTTCTCAGCATTTTTAGTTTTTTACAGTATGTAGAGAAGAGACACTGGTGATGAAAATTTACCCTTATACTTAAATCATTGTCAGAGAAGACTTGCTCTTCTGTTGAATGAATCCATATTTCTGCAGAGATCTGGGTTGTGCCAGATGTCAACTTCTAAAAGACAAAAGCTTGCAAAGATATATTTCTGCTTAGGTAGAGTCTGACAGTCCTATATCTTTTGAACAGTCTTCTCCTTGATATGCTATATTATTAATATTGTGCTGTACTACAAAGAAACTACAGTGAGCTCTTAATCGCTGGTGAAGCAGAGGTTTTCAAGTGAAAACCTCTGTCTTTGTAAATATAGTAAATTATTTTTAAAAATAATTGATGAATGTGTTTGTAGTTTGCATTCAGAAGTAAGAGAGACTTGTTTCCTTAATCTGTTTTGTAGTTAACTGCTGCTTTGGAACTGACAAGATCTGAGCTTCTGCAACTGCATAGTGAAAGAGATCAGTATGAGGACACGATGAAGAAGGCCTTTATGCGTGGTGTATGTGCTTTGAATCTGGAAGCAATGACCATGTTTCAAAGCAAGGACAGTAGGCCAGATCCTGGTTAGTATGACTAGCAGGTTTAATCTGGTAGCATGTGTGCGTTTTTGTTGGATTTGTTTGGGATTTTTGGTTTGTTTGTTTTAATGGAGTTCCTTTTCTCTTTTTTTTTTTTTTTATTTGGGAATTTTTGGCAATACAGAGTTTAATTAACTTTTATTGCTTTAAAATGTCCTGTTGAATATTTTAAGAAGTACTCTGAGGCTGGACTTCATACAGCTGTAGCTGAAAGAAGGAACATGTTCTCTTCATCCCACATTGCTGGGAAAGTGGTAAATTGCAGCTGAAGGCAGGGAAGGAAGTCAAAGGTGGCAAACTTCTTAAAACGCAAGGTTATGGAGCATTTAGACAAAATCCTGAAAATTCCTTTTTACTCTGGAATCTCAGTGTGCCATGAATCAGCTTTTCTCAGACAGCTCTCCCTTCTTTCTTAATCCTGCTTTTGAGTGTAAAAAGGGCAAGCAAATCTCTCGGGTTCTGTATTTAGATGTAACTCCATGCCAGAACAGGAAACACCAGTCTATTTTTATCAGCAGCATACCTGTAAGACCTGTGCAGCTACACAGGGAAGTGCTGCACATGCTTACAGGTACATGAAATCACTCTCTCAGACTGAGACAATCCATAGCAGTGGGAACAAAATTGTGCTGGTGGAGCAACCTAGGTTAAAGAGAAAATAGCTGTGCCAGCAGGAGTGCCACAGCTATATGTGTGGCTCAACAGCTATCTGTACTGGCAGTGGTTAATAGCCTTAGACAAGTAACTTCAGTTGCTAAATTTAACAATCTTATACAGAAGTTTCTGAACTACTTTAGAGAAGTTCTTCACCAAAATGATAGATAGAGAAAATAAAAACCTGAAGAAGATGTAAGCAGATACTTAACCTGAGCAGCTGTCTAAGCCTGTTAAACATAAATGGTATTTGTGCAGTTGCTTAAGAAATTAATATGCCGTTAGCAAAGTGTAGCTGTGTGCTAGTAAAAATTTAGGATCAGTATAGATAGAAGGTTAAGAATGAATGATTTACTGAAGATACTGGGTTTGGGAATAAAATTACAGGGCATTTCCCAAGTACTTTGTTTTTCACGGCGTTATTAATTAAGAATTATTCTATCTTGAAGCATGATCTTTTATTTATTTGTCTGTTGTTTTAAAAAAACATGCAACAGACACCAGGTCTCCCTAATAATGAAGGGTTATTGACTGGTGTGAAAGCATTGTTTCTGTAGACCTATAAAAATGAGAGTAAGTAGTAAGGAAATAAAACTGAGCTCTATTATAGTTGTGACCAATCCTTTATTTTCATGGACCCAAAATTTTGCTTGATTTTTACTAAGAAGCTGGAACTGATACTCTACACCAGCACAACACCTAAAAATTTTGTTGTGCTGCATGTTAGGGTACCCATAACTCATTTATTTGTGTATCCACTATTATGCTTTTTAATCAGGCTTCATAACATTTCACAGACTCTTTTGTTCTCAGTCCTGAGCAGATCATCAGCTTCCACCACCTCTGGTACCACCTTCTCTCCTGCCCCAGGCATCATACTATGTTTTGCTTACAGCCAGATGGTGGTTTTAATGTAGTTAGTTACATAATTATTTAATATGGTTGAGCAACTGTTGATCTGCATTCTTAATCAGGTAGAACAGTGATCAGGACACTGGAGGACTGCAAACATCAGAGAAGATTATTGTGATTTGTTTCTAGTCTTTTGATCTGTGGACATCAAAACTTCCATGTGCCAGAACCAGTCAGCAATTATAAATTTATATGTACGCTGCAGTGCCACCTACTGTCACTGGACATAAAATGCAGAATTTCACCCCTTTACAAATTTATTATTTGGTTATTTTAATATACATTTAATATACACAAAATCTACAGATAAAATACATATCATATATCATTACAGTGTATTTGTTAATAGTGTGCATGTGTCACAAACTTGATGGCTTCATAATATTTAGTGTCAGTGTTGATGGTGTTAAAGTTACCAGCCTAATTACTTAGTAGTATATTAAGATTATTTTAAACTCTTCATGTATTTAAAGGAACACTGACACCACAGGAATTCATAAGTTTTTGCTTATAAAAGTCCTAATACTGTTTTCCTCCAGTAAAATAGATCAGATCTTACTGATCTATAACTGTGCATTGGTCCTGTCTGTGCTTAAGCTTAATGAGTGTGTACACACATAGATATGTACAAAATGCACATTCTAGTACCCTTTTACTCTTGACATCTACAAGTATTGCACAGATTTGAAGCACCTTCCTTTTATTTATCCTTCTTATTTCAGCTAATTTAAAATCTCAAACACAACTACCACATGGTGTCACTCTAGTTCCTGGAATGAGCAAATGACCTCAAATGTTTTACTACCTAGACTGGATTTTCTCTCTTGGGGATAAGAGCACCACTTGCACACTGATTTTAGTTTTGGCAAGCAGTAGGATGAACCTCAGTTCTTTGCACTACAAGTAGGTGACACGTGCCACAGGGATGTTGAGACATAGAGAAACAAGCCCCTTGAAAAACATTTATAAGCATCTCAAAAGAGGGCAAAATACAGGAATGTTTGTTTATATCTGTCTACCTACCTCTATAAAGAACAGCCTGCTCTTTTTTATTAGATTATACAGAAATTCGAAAGAAATATTAAAATTTTCGTTGTAACTTACCTTCCCCCATATCTCCACCTCTTACAGTTAGCTAGATTATGTGCTTATCCCATTACTTTGTGTTTCTAATAATAGATACAGGAAGCAGGAGAAATGATCATGCAACCACTGGTGCAGGAAGGCCACCTCCTTCACAATATAATCAACCCTCACCACCACCTCCACCAGCAGCTGCTGTTCAGGTGGAAAACATGGTAAGCATGTAGCTGGAACAGAACTGTATTTCCTAGTGACAAAAGAGAAATACCTTGATTGGCGCTTTTTTGAAAAGAGTTCAGATGTGTTCAGACTACACTGTGAATGGGGCACAGCTGCTGTGGCTTGCTGTACTTTCATTAAGCTCTTTTTTTTTTTAGTGAAAATGCATCAAACTAACAAAGACAAGGTCACTACAATAAGTATAATTTGCTCTCTAAGGTTCTCTCTGGAAAAAAAGCTGTTAAGAGGCATTTTTTTAATAAACTTGAATTTAGTATATTCTCAAAACATGAAAAGCTGGCTTGACTTCAGACTCCTTTTTTAGGAGGGTAACACCTACAGACATTAAGGGAACTCAGCTTATTGTCCTGTCATACCAACGTAGCCTGATCATCATCTAGTAGCATGGTTGTATTGGACCTGCCCTAGAGTCATCCTCAAAACTTTGCCACTGTAAAACAGCATCATGCTAGAGAGTGGGTTAGAACAGAGATGATGTGCATGCCTGTCTCCTTACTTTTCATTCTAATAGTGACAAATGTTATTCACACCATTTCTACAAATTTTAGACAAGTAATTTTATATTAGACAATAAACAGTAACACTAGAGGTAAAATATCTGCGAAGACATTGCAATTAAAAGGGTAATTGGGATGGTGAGAAAACTGGCTATCTAAGGAGTAAAACTGTATTTTCTAGAAAGTAGTACTCATTCTGTATAAACTGGTTTCTTTTCAGTTTTGTTGCCACCTGGCTCATGCAAGCACTCCTGAGACCAGGCTAGATTCTGATTCTCCAGTTATCATCACTAGCACAACATCAGGATCTGGTGTGACATCAACGCAAAAACTGGTAACATGCTAAAGTTAACTTTTTTTCTTCTTTTAGGACGTAATCATAACAAATATTAGTTTGGGTATTCTTATTTGTGCATTTCTCAGAGCAACACAGGTATGTAATTGAGGACACTGCTGTAGAGTTTACATAGCAGTATGAAGACACTAGATTGAAAATGCTCATTTATGTTACATAAACTCATTTATGCTAGGAGCAGTTTTAAATTCTGTTTTTAGGTAGGGCAGTGTGGGAAAGTGAAGAATAGAAGAGTGCACTTAGGTATAGTGCAACAGCAATAATTGGTGTTTGACTTTTGTCATGGAAAGTGCTCATATCCTTGTCTCATTATCCTGCACTTTGAAATTTCTCCCTCATTCCCTTTTCTGTGCTTTGCACTAAACTGCCCTCCTTTCTTTTCCATATTTGACAGAGTTTGCTATCAGCTGTCAGAGAAAGATGCATTTTTGTATGCATGGGAGCTTTTTTATTATCTGCTCTGTCATTGCTAGAAAGGTTTTCCACAATGATGGAAGTACCTTCAGCTGTCACTCAAGCATGCAGTCAGCCAGCAAAGCTAAACTATCCATGCTTCTTGATTTTTGTCAAATTAGTCTTATTTCCCTCAGAACAGAAGTCATTTACTTGAAATGCTATCGCACAAGTAGAAAAAATGGAGTAATCCTGGTTGCAGCCAGGTGGAGCAAATTCAGTCCTGTGTAATGTAATTGGACTACCTGCAACATCACATGTTCCATTTAGGCATGTGGTAGATAAAACTGAGCAGAAACACCTAGCATTGTAAATATTATATTTAGAGTTTTTTACTAATTAATATTTAATTTTTTTATAGTCCATGCCAAAAGTAATAACATCTGCACAACAGAAAGCAGGAAGAACAATCACTGCTCGAATCACAGGCCGAGCTGATATGGGACAAAAATCCAGAGCTTCTGGGAGTTTAGCGGTGATGGGAGTTGCTCCACCCATGAGTTCAGTTATTGTTGAGAAGCATCATCCAGTCACTCAGGTAAATCAGATTGTGTATTTATGTTCTTAAATTATTTTTATTACAACACATCTGGTAATAGTTTGAAGAAAATTACCTTGCAAAGAGGTATTAGACAAAGCTAGACAAATTAGACTTTAGGGCTGTTGAAAACAGCAAACAGTACTTTGTGTCTTTGTGTAGAAGGCACTGGTGAGATGTCATGGTTTAACCCCAGGCAGCAGCCAAGCCCCACACAGCCACTCACTCACTCCCCCACCAGAGAGTTTGGGAAGAGAATCAGAAGGCTGAAAGCAGGACAACTCATGGGCTGAGAAAAAGACAGTGTAATAGGGAAAGCAAAGGCTGTGCACACAAGCAAAACAAACCAGGGAATTAATTCAGTGCTTTCCATGCACTGCCAGGTGTTTGGCCATCTACAAGAGAGCCAGGCCCCATCATGCAAAATGGCTACTTGGGAAGAGAAATGACATCACCACAAATGTCCCCCCTTTTCTGCTTCTTGTCCCCACTTTATACTCTGAGCTTGGTGCCACATGGTCTGGAAGATCCCTTTTGTCAGTTTGGGTCACCTGTCCTGGCTCTGTCTCCTCCCAACTCCCCAAACACCCTCAATCTCCTCACCATCACAGTAGTACCAAAAGCAGAAAAGGCCCCCATCTCCTCCTGTGACTCACAGCCCTGTGGCTTGCTGCACATAGAAGAATTCAAGAATTTGGGTTCCTAAGCAGAAATTAATGCTTAGATTTTATGTTCTTAGGAGTTTAGAGATTCAGTGTGGTAATTAAATTATTTCATTAAGAACAATTTCTGGATTCAGATTTTGTGACTAGTGTGACAAGGAAAGCACCTGAACTACTGTTTGCAAAAGCTAACCTGCAAAAATGTAATAACTGTGACAAGCCTGCAGATACATACTATATACCAGTTCTGCAATTAAAAATCTTAAGTGTTGGTCTTGAGTTAATTTGAGAAGGAAGATAATTTACCTTGATAAAAAGCAGAATGAATATGGTTTATTACACTAAGGTGGCTAGTTTTATGGGCAGAAAATTACTTATTGATAAAATTGCAAACCTTTTATTTTCAAAGATCTTTCAGGGACTGCCTTTTGAAGTAACAGATACTTGAAAAGGAAAATTGGCACTACAGGGGAAAATTGTGAACAGTATGGTAAAATAGTAAAACAAACCAACCTTGAAATAAGACTGAGATGATAAAAGCTTAAAATACTTAGTTAACTGGAAGTTTAGCACTTTGTATTCTAAAAAGTGTTTTACAGATAAGAAAGGAAAAAATCTTACTCTTTCTATTAAATGACCATTTATTTTTTTCTTTCTTGAAAAGTGTATTTCAGTTTGTTAGGTTGCAGGTCTTTCTTTTTAAACTACAGCTCACCTAGAGCTATTTTAATGTGAATTTTTTGTGTTATTAAGTGTTTTGATGTATCTTATTACTTTTCAGCAAACCATATCACAAGCCATGGCTGCTAAGTATCCTCGAACTGTGCTTCACTCTTCTGGCTCTACCTTTGCAAGACCTGCAGGACAAGCTGGGCGAGTGCTTCAGAGCCAAACTCATACCAGTGTTCAGTCAATAAAAGTTGTTGACTGACTGACTATCTTTCTCACCAGTAGGGCTTTTTAATCAAGGTACCACTTCCCCGTCCTTTCAGATTTGATGCAGTAAGGCCTAAAGTACATATCATGTTTTTACCCCTTTCTAAAAAAGGAAGGTTTTTAAAGTGAAAGTGCTTTTATAATAAAACCTGGAGGGGAAAAAAGAGCTTGAGCTTGTTGTTTTACCTCCAAACTTTTTATTATTAAGAAAAACACTTTTTATTTAAGAAATCTTTAGCACACTTTTTAAATAAAGGATACAATGTCATTTTTGTCTGAATCTCTTGTTTAATCCCAATTATACTAACATCTATGTTCAAGAGAAAATGATTTTTTTTTCTTACAAACACTTTTACTTGCTTATGCATGTAAGTATAGCTGACCTGCAATTTAATTATATCCTGCAACAGTGTATGTAAATGGAGAACAGCAGGGTAGCATCCTCCACAGCCAGGGTCCAGTTTAGGCTAGGTGAGCTACAGTGCATCAAATTCTTAAACATTTTCATTTTGCAAGCTAATGTTGCAGAACTTGATGAATCCAAGCATCTGTACTTTAGGTCCCTAATTCCAAAACTTTATGATTTACTGGTCTGTTCTTCATATTCCTGGGAGACACTGCAGCAGAGTCAAAGAAGATTGCAAACAGGAGGACAGTTTGGAATAAGACTTCAGGCTAAAATCAGATCACTTTTTTAGTACAAACAATAGGATTCAGCACAAAATAATGCTAGCTATATGCAAACAGAAAAGGCAATTCAATACCTCCATTACCTGATAAAACTATTGCTATGTTATAAAGAAGATCACTAAAATAGACATTTACATAGTTTTTCAGATATTAAATGTATTCAGTAATAAGAAAACCTTTAAACACAGTCAGCAAGTATTAATTCAAGATATAAGCAAGAAATAAGTAAATAATTGCCAGATGCGTGAAGTATTAAGTATCAAATGCTCTTTTGAGGGTATGTAACAACTTTTATGCCATGATAGAAAATTCTGCAGCCACATGTGGTGTTTACACATAACATTTTTGTGTTTCTTCACTACATAAATCATACGCCACAGTAGAAAGATTTTTCATAATCCTAGCAAGAATTTATAAAAACCTGAATCCCAAATGAGGCCAGATGCCAAGTTATTTGCCAGTGTTAATTGATTTATACACACAACTTTCACTTACTAAATTTAATTTTTTTCATGTAGAAAACCTCTTATTTACATTTCACATCAAACACAAAGTAGCTTAATTTGCATTTCCAATACAGAATTACTTTATCAGTGTTAGGTCAGATGTAGAAATTGTAAGTGGTGAATCTTGCTTAGCAATTATAAGCTACCAGTCAGCCATTCATTCTTAAATGTTTTACATTTCTATTTAGCAAGCATTTGAAAAAAAAGTAACAACTTCAGGAGTGCAAGTTCTTCAAGGGTGGAAAAATTTGTGCAACTTCAAAATATGTTTTTTGTTTCCCTAAAAGATATTTGAAAGCCACTTTCCTTCTAACATCTAATTCCATCATATATGCCATGTTTTGTTGATGAACTCATGAAATGATACATTTTCTGGAGTCCATGCCAATGCTAACTGAAGCTCTGATCTTCTCTGTAAAGTAAGAGAAAACACTTGATTGGTGTGCTCTGCTTTGCACAAGTTCAGACTAACTGAAGGATGGCCAGTCACAATTTAACTGTGTGTGCAGGAGATGAGGCAAGCAAGGTTTGCACATGTCTGCCTTTAGAAACCTGAAGTCTGACATAAATGCTCTTTCTCAAACAGCCTCAGCCCTCAGGAAGGGCAGTCCCAACAAGGAGAAAGTGTCCTCCACCCCTGCCCTGGCCACAGCTCCCAGCACCAGCAGGGAGCTCAGCATGGCACTGCATTCTCACAGAGGACACTGTAATGTGCTCTGTATCAACTTACCAGCTAAAGGCTGAAGTCCTGCTTCCACCAGATCTTCATACAGATGTTTAACAGGATTCTGATGAGCCAGCAATGTACCATGTAACCAGATGAGCAACACTCTGTTCCCATGTTCCTTGTAACTTTTTTTCCCTATGCAATACACAAAATATTTGTTCAATATGCTGGAAAGAGTGTATTTTGTGCTTTTACACTTTAAAAGTTCCAAGAGGTTTAAAACTTACTCCTTTACTCTTATTACATTTCTCATCCAGCAGAAAAATGCAGACTGAAGCTTACAAAAGTTAAAAAAAAATCTTGTTTTATCTTAATGCTACTGTGAAGACATAAAAACTATGTAATACATCTTAAAATGGAATTTTACTTTCATTTTTTCCCCAAGCTGTGGAAATATACCCTGGAGTAGTAGTAACAAGTACAATATGTGCTGCAGAAGCACTCTCTCCCCAGCACTTGAGAGGCCTGAAGCCAGAAACTCCTGTTTAATGGCAGCAGTGCAGACAGAATGTGAGCAAAATTGCTCTGTGTCATGAGGTTCCCCAGGTCCTCACTTGCAGCATCACCCCCAAGAATCTTCCATGATGCTCATGGCTTCTAGTTTTGGTCTCCAAAGAGGAAGGTTCCTTCAGGCCAAGAGGGAGAGCAGAGTGTGCTGCACTGCTACAGCACTGCTTCCCAGGAACCAGGGACAAGGCTGGTAACCCTTCACTATGGGATACTCACATAGTTTAAAAAGCAATACTGCCTTGTGGTGTTTTTTTGTCCTATATATTATGTCTGGCCATTCAGATATTGTTACCTGTCCATTGTTCTTCAATAGCTTTAATTTGTTCATCTGTGAACTTCCAGAACACAGCCAGTTTTTTCCATTCACGGGGCTTTAACTGGTTGTATGCTAGATTCCAAAGGGAGGAGCGGATTTGCTTGGTCTGTATGCTGTGATCTTGTTTGAAGGACACGCTGAAGTCTGACCCATTACCACTATGAGCTAGATGTGTCTGATAAAGAAAGCAGGTGATAAATTGTGTAACAGAGCTGGGAATCTTTGTTCAGTGAGGCTCTGTACAGATGTAGTTGCTGACAGATGATTTACTCTGTGCCTGAAAAGGAACTCTATATTGCTCATAGAAACAGAACTGAAACAAAGAGTTTCAGTGTTTGTTGCTATGTATTTGTAAGTTAATTGCAAAATAAACCACTTGATAAGGTACTTGATACACAAAAGCAAAGTAACAGCAACTGTTGTGTCAGCAGTGCTGTGCTGCTTGGTTCTGTCTATGTCATGTTTAGAACACAGCTGGGTTTCAGGCACACTTCTTAAACTTTCCTCTTGCTCCTCAAAGCACTAATCTTTCCCTGGGGAGAGGGTAGGCACCATGGGCACAGTGCCTCTCAACCTGTTCCTGCCTCTGCCCTGTCAGCTTCACTGGGCTGCAGTGTGGACTTCCAGATCCTTTGCTGGTACCATCAGCCATTAGGTTTATCACAGGGACTCCTAAACACCAATGTGCACATGTGTGTTGAGCATGGATCTGGTTTCATTCCTGCAAAAGTAAAATCAGACAGAAATCAAAACCACATGGATTTTACCCTCCCGATTAAAAGTGATGCTCTTACTGTACACATGGCTCACCTGGAACAGGAGTGATGGAGTTACCTCTTGTTTGGGCACCTTTTGGGCAAAAACCATGTCAATCAGTGATTTCAGTCCTAGCTAAGCTGTGTCCAGGAACATTCCTAGGTAGGTATGCTCCAGCTATTTCTGTATTTCATTATGTTTATGTACTAGTCCCATTTCAAGTAAATCTTCAAAGGGAAAAATTCTTTATGAATTTGATAGAGGATGACAAAGCAGATACTAAGCAAAAAAGGAAATGGCAAATGGAAATACTAAGCATAAAATGCTTCATTCCAAAATAAATTCAGAAAAATACAGCAGGGTTATTTCCTAACCTCACAAGAGACTTAAAGAGAAAAAAAGTCACAGTTCAGTAACTAAGCATTGTCGTGTATTTTTGGTTCCATTCATCTGATGCAGACTTTATTTCATGCTTCTTAGCATATGCAAGGTAAAGTTTAGGACATTCTACAGGACAGCTTCAGGGTCTCTCTGGTTAGATCATTTGCTTATGATGTTTAATTAAAAAAAAAAAAGCCACAGGAAAAAAATCTCAAGCAAACAAAGAAAACCCCTTGGCAGCAGCACAGCTTCCCTTTGCTGCTAAGGGTGTTTTGAGGCAACAGCAAGGTGGAATAGTAACAGCTGCCCTCAAATCCAGTTCAACCCAGCCCAGACAATGCAAGGGAAGGGTTGTGTAGAAGTGATAAATAGAGAAGAGGGAAAACAGATATGACAGTCACACTTTAGTATCATGTGCCCTTCCTCTCAGCTACATGACACTTCCTTTTGTAACTAATGCTTTGTCACAAATGACAAGTCAGCTGAATGTAACAAAAATGCAGTCCTTAAAATAATGGTTCTAAACACCATAGTTCCAGTGTGGTAACTCCACCAGCATCACATTCCATAGCCATAAGATTTAAGCTGTTCCAAAGGCTGTGCTCTCAGCTTCAGGCAACAGGATACAAACACATTTGTATTTCCCAACATCACTGGTGCTTCTGCAGAAAAGCATCTGCTTAACACCTTCTCTTCTCTTCAGAAAATTCAGTGAACAATGCCAAGAGGTTGAGGATATTATGGGCTTGCTGCTGTCAGACTTGTCATGTCTTCTGTGGCAACAGACTACTTCTAATTTCTCTTTAGACCAAAAGAAGCAATTAATGTACCTGACAATTCCAGCTGAACTGGTGCAAATCAAATGCACAATACAGAGTGTTCATGGAGGCTTGTTTTGCAGTAATGAATCTAGATCTGCGATTTACCAGCCCTGTAACATTAGTGTCATGGATCTGGCCACTCAGGGCAGGAGTGGGGTGGTAAAACCAGCTAATCCCTGTATCTGCTCTGGGACAGGATCAGTATGCTTATACACTTGGCTAACTCAGCAGGAAGCAGGGGTGAGAATGAAATCACAAATTGATATGGCAGTTACTTGTAGCCCTTTAGAGAAGCCCATCACTATGCAGTGTTCATTTAATTAGCAACTAGGGAAAGAAGGTGAGAAGTTCAGACAATCTAAGCCATGTCATTCACACTTGTTGTGAAATTCTTTTCCTTCTCATTAATTTAATCTTATAATTAACACACAAGGGAAAGGGAGGGAGCTTCTGTTGAAGTAGCTGAGCTCTTGCTAGCAAAGGAATCACAGACATCTCCACTCTGCTATTTTTCAAGCATAGATTTTACTGTACCAAAGGATCCAGAAATCAACATGGATCCATGATATCCCAGCCACTGTACTGATGGCACAGTTTGGATTTGGCCTAGAATCTCTCTCCATCCCTTTATGTGTAGAGCACAAGGCAGGAAAGTGCTAAGATCTGCTTACAGTTTTACAGCTAGTCAGGAATAAAGCCTGGATGGGCTAGAGACTTTCCCATTCCCAATCCTAACTTTTGTTTATCAAGGCCAGTCTTACTGCCTGCCAAAAGGAACCACCTCAGCTGAAAGACACCTCAAAATCAGAACTGGCTTTTCCCTTAGCTTAGGTATATTGTGTGTAATGAAAGATGACTCTTACCTGTTTCATGGCGAAATACCTTTCTGCTTTAATGATCATATCTACAATGAGGGCATGATGGCTCCTTGATGCTGTGGCTAGTGCAGTTTTCCCATGCTGAAAGCAGGACAGTGAGTCAGAACATAATCTTGGGTAAGTGTGTCATACAAGAAAAACACAGGGACTGTTTACAGACCCCATCCCTTTTTTACGGTTTTTGGGTAGCTACAATCAAAGTCCTATGCTCTGCATAAGCTTTATCACCTCAGCCCAGAGGTGGTCAGTTTTCTCACACACTAAACTCCCCAGTAAAAATTCTGGTGAGGGACTGCTGCTTTCAGAAACCTGCACTCAGACCTGCATACTTCATACCGGCTTGCACGCTCCAGTCACTGCATCCACATTCAAACTACCACAAATACAGCTGATTCCCATGCTCTGGTTAAACTGGCATTTCAGATGGATAGGCTGGCAAAGCTGGAAATATCCAGCTTAAAGGGCAAACTGGTCCCTTGTTTTAGATGGTAAGAGAAGGTGACTCACAGAATAAAAAGAAAATTACTTTCTTATTAGAGCTGGAAGGAGCACAAATGCAGGCTGATGCTTCATGGGTATAGAAAGAGTCACAGTTATTCAAAGCCACTGCTGCAACACCAGCTGCAGAGGTTTGCTCAGTCTACCTGAACCCATCTCTCCTATCAGCACTTCACTGTGATGCAGGCATCATGGTGGCTCTAAAGGGATTTCTCTGGAATTGTCTATTTTCAGCAGATCTGCACTGAATGCAACTGCCTGGGATTTAAATATTATGATTAATCTCCACATAACAAGTGCTAGGCATTTCTAGAAAAATAGATCTAAAAGAAGCCAATCCCTTAATTAGAAGGTTCATTAATTAAATTAGAAGTTATTTCTGTTCCCCACATAGATTAAAGTTCCCTAATATACACCTTTTGAGTTCTAGCTCCTGGTGGTGCTCAAGATCATTCTAATTAACCTGGTTTTAGAAGAGCATCACATTGGAAGCCAATGAACATACATTTCATTAAATCTTTTAGGCATAGGCATATTTTATATGTGAAGAGTCCAGAGACCACAAGAACTCCTTGGGCTCAGCTCTGGAGAGGTGCTTTGCATTTCACAGAGGAAGAGAGAGGCAGTGGATAAGGGGGGTATTTCTGCACCCCTGTGCTGGTGTGGACACTGCTGGCATCCTGCACGCACATGCAGCACAGCACTGCACATAGGGAGCTCTCTGCTCTCACAGCCAAAGACAGAGTGCATTTCCTGACCTCTGACAGGAGCAGATGCATGGCATTCTCTGGAGAATGAGTACTCTGCCAGGGCGCGGAGGCCAGAAAAATACTGTGCAATCAAAGCAGGCTCCCCATCTTCCTGACTACTGTTCAGCAAGCACAGTAACACTTTTGGCATCTCAGCACCAGTTCAGTTCAAAGGGCACTGTACTTGCGCACGTTCCCAGCAGTGGCATGGTCTCAGGGGTCATCCAGCAAATAGGCAAGGAAAAAGCTACTCCAAGAAATAAAACAGAATCCAGAAAGGTGACTTGTACCAGAACTTGTAGTGGCTCAGAGCCAAATTCTCACAACAACCTCTAACAGTGTTGCTGTAATACAAGAGCACTGCCTTGCCCAAAGTCTTGCAGGTGCTAAAGGTCGTAGGCAATAAGTAATTTTTGTGTCTGCCTTTGGAATACAAATACGTTGAAAAAAATTCCCAATGGCTAAGGTGCTGTTGAAAGTGGACAAGATTTCATTCTGGATTGATCCCTACAAGAACTGCAACCCTTTGGCAAGTGTAGGCATGATTCTAAATGGAAAGGCTTAACCACAATGCGGCACCTTACCTCAGCATCCCAAAACATACCAACCATGCAACCCCCACACAAAGCCCCAGGCCTCATATCAGCCCAGGGCAAAACAAGACAATTCTAATCCATAAAGATTCATCTCTCATCAGGACACTTTTCTGCAGGGAAGTTACTCTTTTAGGTTACAAAAGGGCAAGATTTTTCTTATAATAAACATCAAATCCTTCAACTCAGTCGTAGAGAATTTTAAGAAAAGTGGTAACAGTGTAAAAGGGAACACTTAATCTTGCAGTAATTTATTTAAAATATTTAAATACTGGGTTTGGTACTCTGTCCTTTCAGAAGCACTTCTCCTGCAACTTTGCTTTGATACTTCTTCCAGCCATTACCATTTATGTTTCTATCTTTCAGGCAGAACATCATCTCAGGGTTTAAGTACCCATCTGAATGGATCTGGAATGTCACCATGATTCTCAGATGACCTGGAGTGCTAAAGGGCAAACTCTCCATCGCTGCCCCTGGTAAAGCCGTGTTTCTCCTGGCACTGGGCCCAGCTGCAGATGCACAGTTACAAGGAGCCACAGGCCATTTGCCCCTCTGCAAGCCTAGAGCATATTTTCCTTGAAAGGTTTCTGGAAGCAGTGTTTATCCTTCAAACCACAGAATTTGGGAGCTTTACAGCTCTTCACCAAAACCATCAGATCTCTTGAGTTATAGCAATATTAAAAGTAGACTTCCTTTGTAGTTAGCTTTACTTAGCAAACACAATCGACATGTCCTTTATGCATCTCTGTAAGGAAGATTATAGAACAAAAAATCATGTAATCCTTACATGTGTGAGGAATGCAATTTACCTTATCCATGGTCTTGAGATTGCAGCCTGACTTCAGCAGCACTTCCACCAACTCCACATTGCCAAGATCAGCTGCCAGATGTAGAGGGGTTTCCTGCCTCTGGAATTGAAGACACCAAATAAATGCATTGAGTCAAACTTAGAAGTAGCATGCTCACAGGCTGAATCTAAAACAGATTCACAACAAGAGGTGACCTTGGTGAGAAAATACTGAACAGAGGGAAATCATTTAACTTCTGTGTGATCTGCAAGTTTTGTATCAGGCAGACAAGACAGCATATGGCATCTCTGCAGGAAAACCAGGCACAAGTTCCAGCTGGCTCAGGAAAAGGTTGCTGTTATGCCCCTCTAATGTACTGTAAGCTAACAAGCTCAGTCTCTCTCCTCCCTCTTGAAGCAAGGTGCTTTGGACAGACGGCTTCATGTGTCTGGCAATCCACACCCATATTATTCTCTCAAGTAACCTTTTCCCTGCTGAAATTCATGCCAAGGCAACTGGATATCCACAGTTTTCAACAGTACATTATGCCACATCCACAATGGAACTTTTTAGTTGGCCCTACCACAAAATCATGATGCACAGCAGAAGTCTACCTGCTCCATAATGGGTTCAGTGAACCTTAAACAACATACATACAAAAAAAACCAAAACGAAATCATTAAACAAGGCCAAACCATTAACAAGAAATACAGCTAAAATGGCATTCACCTTCAAGTAAATCTTTGAGTCTGAAAGGAGGGTTGCATAGTCTCTACATAGCTACATATACCCAAATATGTATTTTTATTTTTTTTTACAGAAATTAGAGTAAGAAAATTCAGACAAGAAAATTCAGACAGGTGAAATGCAGCAGCAAATAATGGAGTAATTGTGGAAGCCCTGCATATATGGGAATGTTCCTTAGTATGTTTCTTGGGACACATTATCCTTCTAAGAGGAATGTTTTGTGCCTGTGCTTCTCTGACATTGCAAGTTTACATTCTGTAAGTCTGGTTAGAGAACTTCTTTGGCCTTTATATCTTAATTATAGTTTGCACACTAAGAAACACCAGGCTCAGGGTTCCACATTAAAAGTCTCATTAGTTAATTTTACAGTTTACACTATGATCACAAAATCTCATGTATTCACCTTACTTTTTTATTCCCATATATAAAAAGGGTTTTTTTATTCATACACCCTACTTTCTTTCCTGCAGAAATTTAGGGATACGTAAGTACCTACTGTAGGCAATTTCCAGCATGCTAGAAACAGAGTGTAAAATATCCCCAAAAGATGTGTTGAAGAAATGTATAAAATTCTGTTTTATGTGACCAGAAAGTCTTGTCCTTATACTTTACTCCACCCACAAATGTCAGCCTCTGTTTTCCACAAAAATGTGTATGAATTAATCTTTAGCAATAAAATGAACAATGGGAAGAGGTGAACCACAGATTTCTCAAGACTCATCCTTGTTGCTGTTGTGGGGAGCACCTCTGCATGTCGTGAGGGAGACCAGGCTGCATTTCCCCAGCAGTGAGCCACGGTGCCCCAAATGGGACTCGACAGGTCTGCTGGGACAGTCTTTCCACTGAGATGGATGGCTGAGATGTAGGGCTGATGGGGAGGGGAAAGAGGGATTCTCCTTGAAGTGCCGCAGGGGGCAGGCCTGTCTGTACACAGCTGGGCCATTGGAGTCTGTCATGGTCAGGAGCCAGTGTATGTGAGCTCTGTACAATCTTCTGCCATATGGACCATAGGCACTGGATGTCCTCTGATGGAGGACATCATAGGACATCTCCTAGATGGAGACCTAGTTGTTGTCAGGTCACTGTAGTCCACTCTGCTGCCACTTCCTCAGAGATATTGGATACCTTCTGGTGTTTACTTGCCTAGCTGGTTTGCAGTATCTTCTCTCAGGGGACACTCTGCATTCATGCTCAGTAAGAGCCATCTCCAGAGACATGGGAGTGACTGCTTCTGTTATGATCACTTTGTCAATCCCTTAGTCCCTAGAGGTGGACTCCCTGAGCTTCCCTACCTTCCCAACACTGGAACAGCCAGGTAGCCATGTGTTTACTTTGCTGCCTACCTAAGAGGTCATTCAGAGATGGACACCAGGTAGTTTTGCTTCTGTTGTCATTCTTGTATTTTCCCTTTCCTATCCTGCTACAGGCCAGGTTGCCTATTTTGAATCTTCCCTCTTTTGCCCCTCAGCAGGAGCTGCTGTTTCTCTTTCTAAGGAAATCAACATCTACTTCTATCATCTCTCCTTGAGTTCAGGCACAATCATTATATTTGAGGGCTGGGTCTCTGGTTAAGCAAAGGTGTGACACCTCCAACTAAGGGAGTTTTCACTTATGGTGGCTTCAGAGCTTCTCAGTGTCCCTTTGCCTGCTCCTTGATCAGGAAACCCTTGTTCTCTTTCCAGGGCACTGGATGGCAGCTCTGTAGGCAAGGGCCAGACCAAACACAGCATTGGAAATCCCTGTGCTTCATCAGGGCAGGCAAGGCTCCCCTCCTTCAGATGGTGTATGAATTACTTGGGACTACATTCCTGCTAAGGCATGAGATCCCAAACACCGGGAGGCAGTAAGAGCCTCAGGCACATGTCCAATTCCTTTCACACATGATGCCACCTGAGAATTGACTGCCTCTAGGCAAATCCCTGTGTGGCATTCCCGATTATTTGTTAATTGTTACTCACAATAATCTAAGCCATACAATAGTATAAAAAGTGTGATTATGCGAGGAAATTCAAGGAACTGAGTAGTGTTACAAGCAGGTGGGAGAGACCTGTCCTGAGGGAGAAGAAGGGGCAAATGCCATTCTTTCCTCTCTCAACAAAGCGCCTCTCCAAGGAGGGAAATGAAAAGGTGCAACTGTTGATTTTCTCCATGAGAAGGTCACTTGAGTACACTTCAGGGGCACTGTAAGGCCCAAAATCACCAGATCAGGCACAAGCCAGTGCTTCTATCACCACTCTGCCAAGCAAAGCAGCACAAAGTGATACGCAGCATAGTAAAATGCAGAAATGGACATTAACAATCAGAGGAAATTCTGTACAGCAAAGAAGGCATCAAGCATGACAACACCAAAGTATGGTACAAATCAGTGGTGTATATGATCTACAGTGAACTGATCTAATCTACAGTGAACTGGCCAACAACTAACCAGGCCTCCAAAGACCACTGACACCAAGCAGGGTAGACAAATCCTGGTTAAGGTAAGGGAGACAGGTGTAGCTGTCTGTGGATGGGCTCAAAGCAGCATCCTTTCAGTTAACAGCTGCTCACTGATTGCATCACAGAGATGCGTGACCTTGTCATTTGGTGTTGCTGTGTTGCTCAGCTCTGCTCAGCTCTGCCCCCTCCCAGCTCCCTGAGCACCCCAGTTGGTTAAGGTGGAGGCAGAGTGTGAAACAGAGAAGGCCTTGGTGCTGTGCAAGCATTGTTCAGCAACAGCTTTAACAGCGCTGTCTTACCAGCCCTGTTTTGGTCACAGATCTAAAACACTGGACCAGGTGGGTTGCTTTAAGGAAAAATTAACTTCTTTCCTGCCAAATGACATTCTGCACTGGCTTCCCTCTGAAGCCAATACCATTAGACATTTCTGTCATTTATTACATGAACCATAAGACTTGAACAATACATTACCCAATCATTTTCTGAGTATACAGCATTGTGCTATCCTTATCTTGCTCAAACAATATTAGCACAGCATGTACCAGTGACTAATACATATGTACACACACAAAAGGATTAGGAGGGAACTGCCTCTTCCTTCCTATTTTTTGTACCCTGTGCTCATAAGGAAAAAAAATCAAGCAAAATCCATGTGATCTCCCCTTTACCAATAAAGCTGTGTAAATTCCCAGCTTTTCTTACGTGATTTAAGGAGTTTATGTCGTGACTGGCATCCAAAAGGCTTTTTACTACCGGTAGATTATTACTGAGGACTGCTAAATGGAGAGGGGAATTCTTCTGCTGTGGAGGGAAAATAACAAATTGTTATATTTAGGAATATTATCACAAGCTCAGGCAAACAACAAAGAGGTTCTAATTGAAGCCCACCTCTTGCAAAGGTGACATGCTCTAGCAGAGGCTGAACGCTGCAGAAAACACAGCTGGATGTGTGGAGTTAAACCAGAGGTGGTAGCCTGCTCCCACCTGTAATGGGTATTCAAATACAGCTGAGAAGACTGGAAATGCTGAGTGCATGGGGTGTGCATCAGTGTGCCACCACCTAGGAATGCAGCAAGGCACTCCTCCTAAGTGCTCCTGCCTGGGATGTGCTGCTATCCTGACAGCAGAGAGATCAGGGTAATGTTCCTGCTTCCTCAGAGAAGGGGATTTGCCCTTTGCTGAATGGCCTGCAGACAGACTCATTCTGTATTCGGTAAACTGATGTCGAAATCTATTTTCCAGGAGCAAACCCTTGTCATGTGTTGCTGCTGGAAAGGCTCTTCATACTAAAGTCACTTACTGTCGTATTTATAAAACATGACAAATTACAATTAGTAAGACAGAGGTTTTATTTGAGTGATTATGTAATAAAATAACCAGGGCACAGATTCAAGACCAGTCAAAATCCACATTAGGTTGGTAAGATCACTTGGTATATTGAACCTGTGATGGTTCAGTTTCTTGTGAAATACAACAAAAGAATAATTCCATACCAGTACCATTTATGGTGCTAGACACCAGTTCAGTGTTCTTATAAAACACAGCCATCTCTTCCGAGTTACAGAAAAATAAAGCAAGCTCTTATGCAACATTATGATGGAAACATTTGCAAAATGTAATTTTTTGGAAATTTGGAAATTTTTTTGAAATTTGTAATTTTTTGGAAATTTTTGGAACTCAAAAATTTTTTGAGTTGCTTCTGCTGCAGAAAGCTAAGGAAAACAAGCAGCACAACTGCCTGACCTTTAAATCATTTCAAGCGCAACATAAATTGTTATTCCTTGATAGCTTTCTGCAAGAGGCCAGTGATCATGGTGTAAGTCATGAAGCCCAGATTCTATTTTCATCCTGTACTGCAGAAATGGAAAATAATTTCCTACTCATAGAAAATCTCAAATATCTGTAATATCTAATCTGAGAGAGGATTTAGGTAATATAAATACCTCTTTCTTTTTAAATCACAAAGAATGTTGGCATGCAGATTTTGAAGGCACTGAGAGTGCATTTACCTGCAGAGGGTGAAAGCATTGAAGTGTTTATCTACATTTTAGTTATCTTTATTCAAAATCATGTTGACTCTTTGCCCATGGCATCACTACTGCTAAGTTCAAGCAGGGCACTTGGCTCTCCTTCTCGGAATGCCTGGCCCTTGGTGCAGCCTGGCCATGTCTACTCCCACTGCTCCAGCCTGCTCAGGCCCTCACTGGGCTGGCAAATGGATCTTGCCTCTACTGCTCTGTGTGTGTGGCTAAACCAACACCTAGAAACCAAATAATAGTGTGTTTGGGAAAAAATTCAAGGAACTACTCAATCTCATTCAGCTGTCTGAATTCCCATGGAAGGACAGGACAGGCTGAGGAGCAGCAGAGGAGTTATACTGATAAACACTCACCTCAGGTTTAGGAACCAGGTCAACATTCTTATCAATAAGAAAAGTAACCAAGGATAGATGTCCATTCTGAATTGCAACCTGCAAAGCACTGCTATTGTTCTGAAAGGAATTTGATAGACAGAAAATCTTACATTTTTATTGCTGAAAAAAACGGTATTAAAGAGAGGTATAAATATCAGGAAATCTTGAATTTAAATTCGTCTTAGTATCCCCTCCACCAATAAAACCTTTTGACAAAATGATACAAAATGAAGCACATCAGCAGCTGGCATGATGTTTTTGTCAACAGTGAAGGAAATTCCCAATTTTACTATATCACAACAAACATTCTAAAGAACACATACATCCTATGGCCCCATTCAACTTCTCTTAAAAGAGACAGATCAGCATCATCATCTATACTGTGCCATGGACAACAACAATGCCAACATGTCTCCTATTCTGTTAGTGTGTTAGACCCTTACCAAACAAGTATGGTCATATCAACCAGCAAATCCATAGGACAGTTATTAAATCAATAGAAAAATTAATTACTACAAAATAAATTTTAAAAATTAATTTTTACAAAATAGTTCTGCTTAAACAAACAAGTTCTCATTCTGCTGGAATCATAAACTTCTTGCAGCAGGCTAGCCGAGCCATTCAGCAGATATGAGTTGGACTGCCGTTCAGGAATCACATGTAGAGAACAAGTTTGTCATCAGATCAGTCACATACACTGCCAAAAAGGAGGATTTTCAGTTATCCTTGTTGGTCACATTTTCTAGTCACATGTTGTACTAGTGGGCATACAGGAAATGAAAAGCTCCACCACAGCATTCCATCAAATAAAGCTAATGTTATTTTACATCCACACTGGTTTTATTCTGTTAGCACCCTCTACATTCCCCATTCTATTTTTTAACTGGTTTCATTAAAAAAAAAAAACCAAAAAAAAAACCACCCAAAAAAAACCCAAAAGAAACCAGAGCAAATATCCTTTGCTATTAAGGTCTTTTTCACAGTCTAGTATGCCCCACTAGGAGGGATGCTGTGTACATACCTGAGTTGAAACATTGATGTCACTCCCTGCCTCCAGTAAGAGTTCAGCACATTTTTCATGACCTCTCTCAACAGCCAAGTAAAATGGAGTTTCTCCATTCTAGACCAAAAGAGACAAAATATCTGTTCCAATTTAAGAGATGTGACTACAACACTGAGACACAAAACACCCCCAGTAGGCTCCATCAGGCCCATCCAACTCTTGAGTGACATGGCTACTCACCAGCAGTCAAGTGACAGATGATCTTTATCAGGACAGATGTATAGCAAAGTTTACAATACAGAAAATGATTCTAAAAATATTAATCATGCTCTTTTTGGTGGGCAGGAAACACCACTATTGTTGCCATTCAACACCAGGAAACATCACTATTATGCTAGTATGTACAGTAATTCCAATTTCTGTCAGTGCAATGTCATGGATTTCTGACAAATTCACAACCCCAAGTGCTAGCTATAAGGAGAACTTTAGGCTGAAATAATCCTGTTAAATATTTATTTCAAATCTTTTCACAATGAAGGGGTCTCCATGTCTCCACACAAGTCTATAAAAAGGGATACATCAACTACACAATTATCTAACTCCTGCTTAACATCTAAAATACACGAAGGTTTAATGAAAGTTACTCTGGTGTTTCAACAATCACAAAAGAATCAATAAATCCTAATTTTTCTTTGCTTAAAATCTTGATGTTATTCTGATAAACAATACATGTTAGTACTTTGCTCATGCTATGGGAAGAGAGATCTGTTCATACGCGGATCACAGTATCTCCATCTGGATGGGAAGGTCACACCATTAGCCATGCCAAGACGGGCACAAGCAGCACAAGCTCTGTGTGCAGAAGCAACATTCCCAGACAAGCCTTGGAAACAGGAGGGCTCCACATTTCAAAGAGGCTCATGAGCCTTACAACAGGCACAGCTGAAAAGAGCAGCCAAGTTCAATAAGAGGGAACTTCTCAACTCATCAGTCTGTCACTGACAAACCAAGAGGAAGGCCTTGGGTAGGAGTTACTCATTTTGCCCCCTGGCCCAGCAGAACAAATGATCAGCCACATGGCAGGTTCCCACAGTGGCATTCCAGCCCTCAACAAAGGAAATCACTCTGCCCAGGTTGTTCCAGCTGGCCCATAGAAGAAAGAGAAGAGACACAAACCCTTTACAAAGCAAGAATGCTGAGAGGAGCACTTAGTGTGCATTTCCTTCCTCCACTCCTTGTTTAAGCCTTAAGATGAACCTGAAGAGTGCATTAACAACCTTCCCAGCTAATACACAATTGATGAATATGCTGGCTGAGCTCACCAACACTAAACCAGAAAAGTGTCTGCAGCCACTTTTGTGCAACTGAGGACAGATGGACAAGATAAAATTACCTCTGCTGAGGTGCCTGTGATGGAATGTGCTTCGTATGCAAATCCAACTGGCTCAATGAATAATAATGAAAAGCACCAGAAGTGCTTAAAAGTGAGATGTTAAAAGGAATGGGATCACATGGCTAAAAATGCTGGATGACAGAAAGCAAGGGGGTCGAGGTCTTCCTCTGTTCTCCTCTGCCAGTAGTTATGCAACAGATTGCCAAGTGCAGGGGAGGATGTGTGCAAGGGATAGAGCACAGAGGAAGACACTGAAAGAGGGATAATTTAGGGAGGTTAATTTATTGGACAAGGAACAAGGAAACAGGATGCAAAGTTACTAGGAAACCAGCAAGAAGTCTCCTCAGTGCCACATCTCTTCCTTTCAAATTTGAATTTTTAGAAAAATTTTCAAATCTCTAACTTTATTTCAATAGTTTAGATGTACTTACCTGATTGAGGTCATTTATTTCCTCCCATTGTTCAAGCAGAATTTCTACAACTTCACTGTGACCATTTTTGGCTGCTAAATGCAATGCTGTGTTTCCCTCCTTGAAATTAAAATATTAAATAATATATTTTAAAATCCAGAATAAAGACATTAACTAAAACCAACAAATGTCTTTCGTCTTTTACATACAAGTCTTTCCTACATACAAGGAGAGGGAGGCAACTGCACACAGCATGCGCCAAGATTTAATCTAATCCTGATGTAGTCTGTTCTAGCTGGTTGTCTGAAAACTTCAGGATATACCAGAAAAAAGAGCTGAAATTCTAACTCCAAATAAATGAACCAGAAGAAAACTTCAGGTACTGGTTCCCACAAGGGTGGGTACTTTACTGAGCCCCCAAGACCATTGATTTAAAGAGTAAAAAAGCCTGGGTCACAGCATAGAAATTTGTCATGGCTTTGATGTCAACATCACAATCTTTGATCTCTGTCACCATCAGTGCAATTTCTTTCCAGGAAGTTAAGAAACACAAAACAGAAACAAAACCAAAACTAAAATACCACACCACCAAGCAAAAAAAAAAAAAAAGCAACTAACAACTCCAGGAAGAGCAGCAGCTTTTGAACTAAAAGAAAAAATTCAGAAGAATGCTAACTCTCAGAAAAATGAGAGTCCAGAACAGTTTTTCATTCACAGCATTGAGTGGGAAGATGTGGGAATCCTTTGTACCATTGATGGTTAGAGTGTGATTTGGTTTGGTGAGCCAGGACATGAGGTTCTGTCCTGGCTTCTTACCTAATTTGCAGGACACAGCGTTTACCTCCTGGTGCTGTCGACACCTTTAACCAGCTAGATATCTGGGACACCACCACCTGTCAGCCTCTCTTGATAAACTGCTTAGTACAGCAGAGCTCTGGGTGGCACTGCAGCTTTTAAACTATTACCAGAAAACCAAAAAATCCAACATCACTTACTGAGTGCTTACTTATGTGGTTCTGTAAATGCAGCATTTGACATATTCACAATTTTTACTGTATTTGTCTTACAATGCCTCAGATGCAGAGAAATACTAACATGCTTATTCTAGAAATAGTAAAGCAAGGAAAAAAATTAAGAGCAGACTTTGAAAATTATAAAGATACCTTAAAATATAGTGTCAAAGCAAACTCAATCAGATTGAAGTGCTAAAGTACTGCTGAAAAAGAATTTGTAGGTGTTTATTTTCATCCTGAAACTTTTAAACACCTTTGAAAAATTGATCACACAGTCACACAGAGACACAGACAGATAGAGTGAAATACTGAGAAATACGATCTCCTGGAAGAGGCTGACACCTTTATCACCAGGCTTCTCCACATCTCTCAGCAGACAGCATATGCTAGTCTTGCTTTGCATAAATTATGAATGTGTACGGAAAAGTCTCCTGCCGATCATCCCACTGCCTTCCCTGTATCACTAAAAATCATCATATGTTTGTTGGTCCCTTATTTCACTGTAACTTCTGTGCAGCACACTCAGAGATATGACTGTATAATAATCACAGTGAAACAAAATAATTTTTCATAAGCACAATTGTAGTTGTACTTCTGTGGAAAAGAAACATTTACCTCATCTTTTTCAGATGTAAATAGCTTCAGAGCAATCAATTTTTTTATCATGTCAACATGGCCTTTTTCAGAGGCCAGAAGAAATGGCTTTTTACCTTTCTAGAAAACAATTATAGAAAGAAACATAGTGTTACAGCAAGTAGAAACACTTCTAGTTACTAGATATATGACATGCACATGTATATGTGTAACCTACATAAAAATTTATATATCATATGACTAAGGAGATTAACACAATAGTAGAAGATACACAGAAGAGCAGTAATTAAAATTACACTAAGTGTATACAAACAGATCATACATCCTTCATATACTGAATAAAATATATAAAAGCTGTTTAGAAATGTTAAAAAAGTGTAAAAGACACTCAAAATATTTTAATCCTGGTTTTTATCAGTATGAAAATATTAATTGAAATAACTGTGCCATTAAAAGTCTGAGAATGCTCAAAAACAGGCAACAAAGAAACGGCAAAATTTATTTCCATGGGTGAGTTTGATACAAATTCTGGAAACAGAGACCAAAACTGATGTATCTCAGAAGTTTCATCCAGGAGGCCTGAATTTAGCACTGAACATTGTAGGGGGTTTTGGTAGTGTTAAAACTAACAAAAAATTTTCAAACCATTTACGAACTCAACTGCAGAAAGTTATCTTGACACAAAACCATACCACTGTTCAAGACAGTAAGGCATATAACCAGCTAGGTAAAACGGCTTCACATCATGCCTGGTAGTGCCTATAGAAATGTCTAGAAAAAAAAATGTATGCACCTAGTAGAGAATTATGATACAACCTCAACAGGTGGTTGAGAAGGTCCTTCCTCAGCTTTCTATTCCCAGGGCCTAAACCTCCAAAGGAATGTTTTGTTAAATTAACTCTGTTTTGTCAGACTTGTAATTTGTGAAAAGAATTCAGAATTTTGCACCCTTGAGTCAATAAAATTCAAGAAACTCAGAAGGAAAAAAAGGGGAGATTTGTTCTTTAGGCATCAGATCTCACAGGAATAAGTTTTCCTCATGTAAAGCTAAAATATCTGACTTATCTACATAGCATTTCAAAACAAGATCCCAACACTGTGGAAATTAAAACCACAGAAAACCTGATGAGGACAAGGCACCTGTTGAGAGTCAGTGCACCTCTGTAGGATGGCTGCACATAGTTCTGTGTTCTAATTGATGAAACATGGCCATGTTGGCCATAACTGGCATGTTTTGGTAGGGACAGGGGTCTGTGAAGATGAGCTGTGTGGGAAATGTCAGAGGCTGCCAGTCAGACATTTCCAGCTGACTCCACAGTGGACCCAATTCCCCATGATGTGCCAACACTTAACCCACCATAATGAACCAAATGATGCGTATGTGGAAATGTATGTAAGAGTGGCTGGGCACTGCTGTAGGAAGGATGCACAAGGAGAGATACAGCAACAAACACAGAAGATGCAAGGGAGGAGACACAGGGGAAGGTGCAGCCACCCATAGGTGACTGCAATCCATTCAAGAAGCTTTCTGGAGCAGAGAAAACTAGTAAGAGGCAAAAGCAATAAAAAAAGGAATTGACAGGGGACTGAACCCAACCTCCTCTTTCTACGACTAAGCATCACATGCAGCAGAAGCAAGGACAGCAGAGGGTGTCTGCAATCCACCTGGAATGGGCAAAGAGGGAGGAAGGGTGCTGCCCCTAAGGGCTTGTCTGGCTGTTTCTTTTATCTGTCTCTCAGTATTCAAGTCAGTAATTAAAAGTATATGCAACTATCAATAAACTAAAATTCATTTGAATTCCCCAAATCAAGATTGTTTCCCCCAAAACAAAAGCCCCATAACATCAAAGAAATAAACAGAAACACACTGTACCCCATCAGGTTTGTTCAAGTCATTCAGATGAAGATCTTGGAGGAAATAATCAACTATTTTAATGCTGTTGCTCTGAGCTGCAAAATGCAGTACATTCATTCCTTCCTGAAAAATGGTAAGTTAGTCTGTAAGTATGTTTGATTTTTTTCTCAACATAAACATATTTAGGGTTGGTAAAAAATTTTCATCAACAAACCTCATTCTTAGCCTTTTGATCAGCACCTGCTTTAACTAATTTTCGCATTATATCCAGATTTCCAGTCCAGGCTGCAAGATGAATCACCGTCAGGCCATGCTTCAAATAAAATGACAAAGGCAAAAATTACCACCAAAATACCTCAAGCCAAGTTTCTTTAAATCTTTTTGATTGATTCAGTGTATTAGTGGGTTCCAGTCTGTAGGCTTTTAGAAAAGCAATATGAACACCTGACAGTGTGGGTGGGATTCATCTCACTTAAATTAAGCTAGATGCAATAGAGCAAGACCTAGATAAATGTTTGACTTCTTCACAGAAGGTCTGGCATCTCTAGAGAAGGATTGATCCCGTTTTATGACAGAGGGATGAAGTCCTACCTAGAAATTATTTTCTCTCTCCAGAAACCATGTAGATAGATAGTCCTGGGTGCAGTGGATGACATTTCAAGTGACAATATGCAATGAATATACTTCCATGAGTCACTATGTTTTTCCATTTAGATCTCTTTGTAATGTTCTCACCTCTCAAATTCTCTAAAAACTTTTTCTCTTATAGGAAAAAACTAACCCCGTTTTGAACATCTTAAAAACAAAAGGACTAGCTCAACTCTGAGCTTCTGTGGCCTCATCTCAGGTACTGGGGGCAGTTTTGGCTGCCACAATACAAGCACATAAAGCTATTAAAGAGTGTCCAAAGGAGGAACACAAAGATGATGAAGAACCTTGAGGGGAAACCATATGAGAAGCAAATGAGGTCATTTGGTCTTTTCAGCCTGGAGTAGACAGAGCGGAGCCCTCACTGCAGTTACAACCTCCTTATGAGGGGAAGAGGAGAGGCAGGCACTGACCTGGCAGGACAAGAGAAAAGGGCATGGAGCTGTGTAAGGGGAGGTTTAGGTTGGATATTAGGACTCTCCCTCATATACCCTGTTCTGCACTTCTAACCATTCTAGAGGTTCTGCACGGGACTCACTCCACTATACCAATCTTTCCCATATTTGCAGAAATTGCAGTGGAAAACAGTGGGGGGCAATATGGAATATGTACCTGGTATGCAGGCAGTAAGATAAATCTAGGCTTCAGCAAAATTTGTGGCTGTGGCCTAAAAGTCTGCCCTGGAAAACCTTTCAAGCTATGAACAGCTGGAGGGCAGTCACAAATAATGCACTGGGCATCCATCCTGGGAATGCTATTCAACATCTGCATTAACGACCTGAATGATGGGCAGAATGCACCCGCAGCCAACTTGATATTAAACTGGGATGAATGGCTGATAGACTGTATTGGTGTGCTGCCATCCAGGGAAACCTTGACAGGCTGGAGAAATGGCCTGGCAAGAACATAACATAATTCAACAGGAGGAAATGCAAAGTCCTGCCCCTGAGGAGGAGGAGCAGGAGCAATCCCAGGCAGCAGTACTGGCTGGGGACAACTGCCAGGAAAGCAGTTTGGCAGAGGAAGACCTGGGGGTCCTGGTGCACACTAAGTTGAACACGAGCCAGCAGCGTGCTCTTGCAGCACACAAGGCAAATAAAGTCCTTGGCTGTATCAGGTAAACACTGTGACCTGGCCAAGGGAGGTGCCTTGTGCTCACTCAAGTATTCAAGTTATCCAGTACTTTGGGCAATGCGTTTTTCCTCTAAAAATGTTTTTTTTTCGTACAAATAGGTGCAGTTCTAAGACAAACTGGAGTTTTTACTGCAAGCTCTTAATTTTTGTACAATTGGGAGCACAAGAAAATTATCTGCTTTTACTCAAAGGAATTCCTATACATGTGAATCAAAACAAAGCAGCCAGCTTACCTGATCTGCCATGTCAAGTCTAGCTTTGTGATGAAGAAGAAAGTCCACCACGGACACATGGCCTCCCGCAACAGCAAAATGGAACGCTGTGCGCTTCAGCTGGAATCAGGAAAGCTTTGTTTGTCAGGTCTGCAATACAGTTCTTTCCCTGTGAAGGTGTTCAGGATTTTGGAATCCTCTGATTGTTACCAAATGTACCTGTTAATATATACTATTTCATATTTCTCCTTCTATTTCTTTGGATAGCATTTAGATATTGATCTTAGAGAATTCTTGTAAAAACAGAATGATTTTGTTAGTCTACATAGTAATGTCCTTTCATTGAAATGTCAGAATGGGATAAAGTACTCAAACACTGCATAGGGGGGGTACATGCAGTACAAGAAGCATCCTTATTTATTATTTTATTGCATGGTATACTTAGAATAGCTCAGGTCCATGTGTATGCAGTTAGACTTGCTTTTGGTATCCTCCTTGCTTTTGACTAAACCTGTGCAATGCAAGCCAAGATTTCTCCCTCAGTCAGTGTTAGTCACCTTCCCATACTGAGTCATCATCTACGTAAAAGAAAGCTACCACTGTGCAAAGAGTGAGTAATTTTATAGAGGTGAATGGGCTCAGTGCTTCTCAAGAAGACTTTCACAAAGTAATTTGTGGTATATATTTAAAAGAAATTTGTTAAATTGAATCAAATTTTATTGGAGAGTTTTGCTTTCAGTTAAAGTGGGCATAACTGGGTTTAACATTAGTGACTAATAGTTTCCATACAAAGATGTCTAAGACATTTAATAAATTAATTTTAAAAGTCAGTTTGGATTTGTTTTCTTAGCTTCTCTGAAGCTCACTTGACTTGTATAAATTTAAATTTACAATCATATGCACCAAAAGGAATAAAAAGGTGGGATTTAGGATGTATATTTATGACAGAAAAAAGCCTCTTATACTATAGAAAGAGTACTATCAAAAAGCTCATAATCTGATAGCCCTTCTTATTTGGCTTGAGAGCACAGGGGCAGGAATCATCAACATTAACAAAACAAATGGCTTCGCCAGCATAAGCTACCTCCCTACTAGGATAATCAATCAAAGCACAACACCTCTGCAGAGGTGTTGTGCTTTGATTGATTATCAAAGTAACTATTATTAAAGTTACTTTGATTGATTATCAAAGTAACTATTATCAAAGTAACTCATTATCAAAATATGAGAGTAACTCTCTCATATTATAGATCTAATTTAAGGATGACAGAGAAAAGTTTCAAACTACTGAACTGAAAATGTATTTAGTTTAACCTCCTGAACTCTGGAAAGCAAGGAGGAAGAAAGAACTATTTTAAAGTGACCTTTTAGAGTGTAATGCAGTTGATACTCTCAGTATTCAAGTGTACTCAGAGGAAATGTCTGTCTCCTTGTCTGTTTTATAAACAAGTCAAAGAGTGCACTAAAATATCTTCTATATTCCCCAGTGAGTGAAAATACATGTGGGCATGGGAGGCAAAATTTTTCAGAACCCAGAATAAATAACAATAAATAAATAAATACTCAGGGGTAGATTATTTATATGTAGCCGTTGAGAGGACACTGTTACACCAAACTCCCAGATTAATATCATGGCTGCTTGGTTGCTGTTGAACTACCTCTCATGTGAAACACAGTGCTTTACTTAGCTACTGTGAAGTATACATCTCACATTTTAGGCCTGGTGTTGAAGTCAGCATAGGAAATGCATTTTTGTATATCTAAGGTAAACCTGGACCCTGAGCTCAGGCTGGAGTCAGAGGACATTGTAAAATGCTTCCACAGTTCCATGCAAACCAAGAGTAATACTTTTTCTAGAAATTTGTAATGCTAGCAGCATGAATCCATTCTTAAAGTGACTGTGAGGTAAAGTCCATCAGAAAGATGGAGAACTTGGGAAATTAGTCACCAAAGAGCTGTGAGGAAACACTAGAGTAGGGGCAGAATTGAGGAGTCCTTAGCTCCCAATGTGATCCACTGACACTGAAACCCCAGAGCTCAGCTGTACAACTCCCAGTGTCCATAATGGCCACGTGAAATTATTTCTTCACCAGGTCCTAGAGGGCCCTTCTGCAGCCTCTCTCCTGCCCTGAGGGAGCATGCAGGCATTCCCCCATGCAGCCCCAAGGAATCACCCTTCACAGCAGGCACCTGTCAGGCACCTTATACTCACAGTATCTACCGCATTTATGTTAACATTCTTTTTAAACAGCTTTTCCATGGTATCCAAATTGTTCATTTTAGCAGCATGTTGAAATTCTCTCTCATCTGGCAGTACTGTGGGAAAACATGATAAAAACACCCATATTATTAAAAAAGTAGCCATAACCAACATACGGGATGATAATATTGTTTATACTTTCTGTTCTTTGTAGTGATTTAATGTTATGAGAATCACTTGCTTCTCGTCATCAAAGCATTTAATGACTAGATTTTTCTCCTTTAGAGACATCTGGCTGATATTTCTAGTTTCAACTTTTAAGTGCAACTAAAGAGAGACTTTTCACAACACAAATCACCAGAGCTGGCACTCACAGGAACAGTTTGTTTATGAAGCTCTTACTACCTAACTGCATCTCAAATTACAGCATAGGCATAGCAGTAACTTCAACTACAAACTTCAGCATTTATTTCCTATTCTTTGAGAAATTTTCTGTTTTAAAACACACTACCAAAACACAAGCTATGTAAAGCAGTAACCAAACAGACATGACTGGAAAAACAAACCAAAACAAACAAAATCCAGTTTTGATTTGAGACCTCCCTTTAATATCTCAATCCAAAAATTAGCATCTGTTTGGTCAGCTGAGGTAGCAAGATATATTCAGTAACTCTGAAAAGTAAAATTCCAGTGTCTGACCTTCTTTAGCTGGAGGTCAGAATATTTTTCATGTTTATACTGTAATATTTCATTAAACACTTAAAAGAAAACAGTGTAGCAGTTACACCAGTTGCAAAAATGTTAATACATACTTTTAATCCAATAGCATGTCACACTTAAAATCCAATTAGTTAGATGCCTTCTGTCTAGACTATTTTGGGCTGAAGGCCTCGTGTCCAATGACATCATCAAGGAGGCACCAGTCTGTTGGATCAGGAACTACAGGAATTATCTATTCCTTAGAGCCCTCTCAGGCAAGTTCATCCTACCACATTATGTCTAAGTTCAATGCCTAATCAGGATGCAACATGAGGCACCACGACTGCAGAGCACGCTAAGGAAAATCAGTATAGCATTCACTTAATTTCATTTATATGTTCCCTGTGGCTATCATCTCAGGGAGAATAATCACAATTTTACTGTAGAAAATGAATTAGAAATTAAACTGGATACTTGCAAAGGTGCTTCCAGTTTCCCTAAGAAATTATCCAAGTGCCTCAAATAAAAGAATCATCCTTCCAAACTTCTCTGGGAATCACAGTCTATGTGTTATTCATATTACAACATGCAGGCACAAGGAAGGAAAATAAAAAGAAAAAAAAGCATTTGCAAATAAAGATGCTCTCCTGGCATTTGTGACAAGGACCATGGCTAATAGCAAATCATCATTATGAACAGTGATCTTTAAAGAATAAATGCCTCAGTCCCAGTTTTCATAGTCATTACCTTAGGAAGTATCCAACAGAGCTTTCTACTAACTTGATTTCAAGCTCAGGTAAACCAATGGTCAACCTTGCTCAAGGCAAATTTACGTCCAATATAGAAAAAACTATACAGCACTAATTGGCAATTAATTACAATAAGGCCACATTCATTCCTGCTGACTGCTGTCTTACATGAGGATGCAAAGATAGAAGCAGGACAATCAGGAACAACCCCAAGACTTTACTCAGCACTGCCTTCAAAAACAAGATAAAACTATGTTTCTTTACTGTGTATGCATCAGCAAGGACAATTTTGCAGTTCTAACAAAAAATTAAGTGTTCTTTTCTCTCCTGTCCAGAAGCAATGTATTGGCCATGTGTTGCAAAAAAGACCTTTTCCTCTGTACATTATATTTCTTCAAAATCTCTCCCTTCACACTTAGTAATTCAGGAGTTGAGAACCATCACAACGTAGACACACAATGACTCTGATTCGTTGCCCAAACTTTTTCTGCTTTTGCAAATATTTTTTTTTCATGTATGGAATTACAGGAGTACAGAGCTGTCAGACTAAGCTTTATGGAAGCCTTCTATCCAAGCAGGGGTCTCCAAGATTTAGTGCTGCTCCTGTAACTAGGAATTACTCTATTTTCAAGTAACAACAGCAATCAATTATGTGTGACTGCCAGGTTTTTTAGGGGGTATTTTCTTTGGCACCATACAAAAAGTCTGGCTTATATAATAAATACATATATATTTATATTGGACAATTTATTAGTTATATTCCATTTTTCTTTTGAGCTAACTGGAATTAGTACTTTGATTTTCTCTTCTGTTGTGATGTCCACAAGATGAAATCCACAACTATCTTAAAAAACACAAGGCAAAACAACTCCTGAATTTGAACTGATTAAGGAGGTCCAAGGAGGTAAAATTTAAAAAATATCAACAATATTTGGATTCAAATGCCAATAAAAGTACTTTTAACCTATTATTTCTAAAAATGAAATAATCTATTTAATGATCTGGCAACATTTTCAAAGTTTTCTCTGGGTTTTCTTTTTACTGGAAGTAAAATTACTAGAGCAATGTTGGGATCTTGCTAAGTCACTAAGATTTTTTTTTTCTAAAATAGTAATTTTCCATTTCAAAGAAATCATGGGAAAAACTACTTATTTAGTCCAATGGCCATATTTCATTGGTTCTTTTCTTTTTCTGCACTCTTTACCAGCCTGGGAGCAAGAGCCAGAGCCCAAGATGATGGCTCCCAGCTGTCACACTGTGATCACAGAACTGTGGCGAAGCAGGGTTTGGCAAGTACCACTTAGTACTTTCCACAAATCACCTGTTTTCACTACCCATAGTTCACGCCAGAGCAGTCTGTTCTTTCACAGAATGGTGTGCAGGCTGAAGGCCGGAGACCCCTTTGCTGGGTTGTGTTTCTGAGTGCAAGATCCTCTGATTTCTGTGTGCCTCCCAAAACTGGGTGATTGGCTGTGAAACTGGCGGCAGATGCTCAGCTCCAGGGACGTGACTAATACAAGCGAACCCTCTCAGAGCCGTTCAAAGCGGAAGTTAAAGCACGACAGAGGGCAATTTGTAGCACTTGCCCCTGGGACCACCACGTGGCAAAGCCTAGCTCCCAATCCTACATCCGCACATTTGCTGATGTCTTTTACTACATGTACAACAGCTCATGCTAATCTTTGTCCTTTCCAACCCCCATCGCTCATTTTGTTCTCCCATCAAGGCAAAAAGCAGGTTTGGGTGGGTCCCAGCAGCCCTAAGAGAGGGCCTGGCTCGCTGCCTCCAGGGAAGGCAGGCAACGCTGGCCATCGGGCCGCAGTGCTGCGCTGTGCT